CGCTGCTGGGCCGGCGACTGGCTGGGGGGTCCCGGCGAACGCCGTTGCAGCGCTGGCGACTGGCACTGGGGTGCTGGCGAACGCCCCGGCGGAGCGGGCGAGGGGCACTGCGGGGCGGGCGAGCGACGCTGCTGGGCTGGGGAATGGCACTGGGAGAGTGGGGAGTGGCGTTGGCCTGCAAAGCAAAACGGGACGGGACGGGGAGCACAGAAAATACACCCCCGTCAGTTCGGCGGCACGGAAAATATCCCTCATCACCCATGTGCATCCCACATGGATGCGGGGATGCGGCCGTGGGGAACCCCGGCAGGAGGGATGCTCCTGGGGAGGGATGCTCTCCGGGACGGATGCTCCCCGGGACGGATGCTCCCCGGGACGCACACATGCAGGAGCTCAGCACCAGCCGGAGGATGAGGGCAGCCAGCATGGTCTCCCCATTTTTTGCATCCCAGCCCCATTTAGCCATGGGTTTCAGCCCCGGCTCCCCCCTTACCACCGTTGAGGCTCTTCTCCTGCAGCAGGGCGCGGAGGATCTGGCTCTGCAGGGAGCTGAGGTTCCTCAGGCGGCACAGCTCCTCCGTCAGCTCCGTGTAGGCCAGCGCCAGGTTCACCCTGCGGCAGGGACGAAGCGTCACCGAGGGCGAAACATTCCCGGTCCCCCGGCCGGGGAGGGGGGGGGGCCCCCTGCCATGCCGTGCTGTGGGGCGCACCCAAATCTAACCCAAATTCAGGTTTTTAATTCAAAAGGGAAAAGTTGTGGCCACGCACCGCCTGGCATCGTACCTGCAGGCGCCCCGTGCAGCAGGAGCAGTTGGGAGTGGGAGCGAGGTGGGTGCCACACTCCCCCCCCCCAGCTCTTGGGGGCCCTGACAAAGTCATCAATTCTTCCCCAACTTCGGTGTCACTTTTCAAACCCATATTCTCTGCGGTGATGCGAAGGGAGAAGCCGTCTCCCAAGGGCCCCGCGGGGCTGGGGGCTCAGCGCGTCCTCCCGCGCCGCGCGTGGAGAGTTCAGCTGAGCCGTTGTGACACCCCGGGGGACCCGGGAGATGCCGCTCGTAACAACAGCCGACAGGTCTGCCCCTGCCCGCCCTCCTGTCATCTCATGGGGGGGGGGGGAGAAAAAGAAAAGAAAGAAAGAAGGAAGGAGAGAAAGAAGGAAAAAAGGAAAGAAGAAGGAAAAAAGGAAAGAAGAAGGAAAAAAGGAAAGAAGAAGGAAAAAAGAAAGAAGAAGGAAAAAGCAGAAAAAGTAGAGAGAAAAAGAAAAGAAAGTGATAAAGAAAGAGAAAAAGACGTTTCCCCAGCTGGGTCCCCATGTCACGTCCCCAGAGTCCCCATGGCCCTGCCACAGGGGCACAAGCACCTGGGGACGTCCCCGGACACGGCTGCCCCCGAGACCCCCCCTCACACTTGCAGCCCTGCTGGCTCCTACCTCTCCTGCCTCAGTTTCCCCTCCATGACCCATCGTGGGCACCCAGCTCTGAGCCCGGGACGCTGGCGCAGAGTCTGCGGCCTCTCCCCAAAGTGGGGGGGATCCCAGCTCCCCCAGCCCCACTGCTGAATTCCACCCTCCCCCGTGGGGGGGTAACGGCCCCCCCCCCCCCCCAAAGTCACGCTGAGGCGCAGGGAGGAAGCGCCAAAACCGCAGCACCGGGGCGGAGGAGTGAGCGGTGCTGGGGTGGGGTGGGGGGGGACGAGCAGCCCCCCCCGGCCCCCACCCGGGGCACCCTGCCAGAACCCCTGCCTGCAGAGGAGGGAGGGCAGGGACCTGCCCCACGGGTCCCTCCTGCAGTCTGCGAGGCTTTTGGGGAGATTTGGTGCTGGGGAGAGGTGGCGGTGGTGGGGGGCCTTGGTGCCCCCAACCCCAACCCCCCAAAAAAAAGCTCTTTTTCAGGCCAAACTGTGGGGTTTTGATACGCAACAGCAGATAAGCCGTGAGAACAAAACAGCCACCGAAAACCCAACCGCCCACGCCTGCCCGGCTGCCCCCAGCACCGCAGAGCATCGCTGCTCCGGCAGGAGCGGCCGGATCCTGCGGGACCGCGTGGGTCCCCCGTGGTCCTGGCAGGACAAGCGACATCGCGTCCCTTCTTCGTCCCCGGCCAGAGACGCTGTGGCCGGGGGGGGACGACAGCAGGCTGCCAAGCACAGCTGAGACCCCCAGCCAGGACCACCAAAGTGAGGGGCTGGGGACACATGG